CTGACACCGGTGCTGAATGCACCCCTCCTCCCGGAGCTGCACAAGTTAAGATCAGAATCCAAAAACACAGGAACACAGCTGAAGTTCACCCTTACATTTTCATAATACATAACCACGCAATCCCATTTTGTTGACAATTATTTCTGCCAAAAAACACAGCAGCACATTGTGGAGGAGGAATCCTACCGAGCCTGCACAAAAGCTCTGTTCAAGCATAAAGTGCCTTTTCCTCATGGGGAAAGGAGCAGAGTCCAACTAAATTAAAAACAGCCTTTGAGAAATACTTCATTTAGTCCCATAACCAAGCCTTTTGCTCTCTGGCACGGTGGAACAATCAAACACCTCATTGATACCACTGGAAATTTCATGGGCGAACGTGAAAGGAGAACTCAGGCCTGAAGAAAGCCATGAGCTGACCGGTGCTCCCAGTTCCAGCTCTGAGGAGGTTCTAGGTTTGCTGCATGGCCTCAGGGACAGGGAGGGCTGGCCTGGAATTCCCTGTGGCACATTTTGGTGCGTGGATAAACCAAGGACCTGGTTGTCCACAGTTGTGTCAGGCGTGAAAGTGTTGCCAGGTCTGAGATCTCACACCACTGTGATTCACAAGCGTCGCTGCTGCCACGGGGCTCAGCAGCTGATAAATGGATTAAACACAGATGAGAATCACATCTCTGTCCAAGGCAGCTGCAAACTCTGTCCATCACACGTTGGTGTCCAAGATTCACCCTTCTCTACAAGTTGTGGGTGTCTCACCCAGCCCAATGAGAAAGAGAAAAGGTTAAAAATGAGGCGACAGAGCTGGTCTCAGGCAGCCCAGCTCATGAGGAGCAACTGGGGAGCTCCAGGTGAGCCCACCCAGGCTGACCTCCACCACTTCTGGGTTTGGACCTCAGGTTGTCTCCACACCACAGAGGTGGTCCCCCCCGCCCCGTGCCGGCACTTCGCTGCCCACTCCTCCTCGCCACAGCCAGTCAGTCACGGGGTTTAGGAGCTTAAAGCAAAGAGGTTTGTGGAACAATCAAAATAGTTCCTCCTAAGACAGCTAACGGGATTAGACAGCTAAACCACGCAATGCGCCGCCGCTTCTGGAGCCAAGTCGGTAAAATCGTGTCCCGCAGAAGACAATCTCCTGCCTCCTGACGCACTGCAAGCTCAGAGGTCGTTACCTCCCGCATCTTACCCCGAAAGGGCACCTCAGAGGTCAAGCCTACGCGTTACCGTTTCCACAGGAGGGAGGACCAGCTCTCTGCAGGGCGGGGAATCAGACACGTATTAATGGCTGATTTTACCACAAGACCACGTAAAGTTTTATTTAAACCGCACAATGATGAGTTCAGTGTGCGTAGAGGCCTAGCAACCCATTTAACATCACTTTAACTATGATGGATGAGACACTTGCCAGATGCGGTCGATTAAAGGGCTTCAGCAAACTTCCCTGTCTTTACAGTACAGCATGATGTCCCACACCAGCCCCGAGTCCCCTCACATCTGTGTGCCCACACCGGGCACTGCAGAGACACAACTGCCACAAACACAGCCCCACGCGACCAGCATCCACACACACCAGCAAGGGAGCACGATAGAGTCATTCCGAAAGCCTGTGTGTGAATTGCAAAGAGAAATTGTGATTTTAAGTACTGGGACATAGCAGAGAGCAACCAGCTGGAACGAGCCGTACAGTCGGTCCCAGTAAGGACACCCCAGGTGAGCCCCAGTGCAGAAGCATATGGAGCACTTAAGGCTGAGTTAAACCAAAGTCCCGAGGGATAAGCTCCTGAGGAGAGCCACACATTGCCCAAGGTGTGAGGTAGGTCACCCAGCGTCACATGAGGTTGATTTCTGCCACTCTCTTTCTTTTAAGACTTGTCTGAAACCACTTAACTTTACCCAGTAAATGTGACATTTTCCCGGTGCATTAAATCCTCAGGAAAACCACAGCTGGCGTGAGATCTGGTATTCGCCTGTACCCATCCTGCAACACCTCCTCAAAGATCTTATTTCAGCTTGGGGCCGGTGTCCAGGCTTTCATCACCGGGAGCTGAAGGCCAGCAAAAACCTCCCTCCGAGGCCAACCCCCTCAAGGGCACGAGCCGAGCGTCTTCAGAGAGTCCCCACTCGCTATTTGCAGTCTGGACTCCGGGTGTTTCAAGAGCTGCCAGGCTAAAATTAGGGGCCCAGATAAGCATATCAGCCCCTGCTGCCCAACACCAAGGGCATCGGGAGCGTGGAGAGCAGCCAAGACTTAAAGCAGCCGCAGCGCCAGCAAGCAAATATCACGGCAGCAATTCCTGATTTGGTCACGCAGGAAAAAAATAAATTTCGTGCTTAGACATGGCTTATCATCGCAGCATTTTCTCTAAACCAGCAGTGAGAAGAAGTATCATGTAAAGCAAATACAGCCCTACAATCATCTCGCCTTTCCCTTGGACTTGAGAGTGGATTTTTTGGGAGCAGCACAGCCGTGGCAGCGATGGCACTGGCAGGACATGGGCACTGGCAGGACATGGGCACTGCCTTCCAGCCGTGCTGAGAAACACACCTCTGTCACGGCCCAATAGCACCACATCAGCCTAATGTAAACATAACCGAGGGCAGCCCTTTATAACGGAGATATCCATAAAGAAAGGAATTCAATCTGTGCTCACAGTAAAGAATGCCGGGAGGCTGGGTATGAGAAATAATATCTTCGTGTCTACGTGACAAAGGGAAGGGGGGGAAGGAAAATCCTCTGCGTTTAACAAAGATTTGATAATGGGTTGAAAAAAGCCAGATATTGCTCAGAACAGAAAAAAAAAAGAAAACAAGTGGTATCCCAATTGCTGCCAAGTGCTTTGAGTCCCTGAGCCACATGCACGGACCTGCCTGAGCCCTGGCCCTGCCCCTGGAACGTGTTCCCCCCCGGCAGTGTGGGGCTGGGGGCACGGCAGGGGCTCCCCAGCAGCTCCATCGGCTGCTCGGCCAGTTTGCCATCAAAACAAGTCCCCTTCACGTCTTCATTTCCCTCCAGGGAGCTCCAGGCAGCACTAAATGAAGAATCCCCCTGTGCAGAGGGGCCAGCACAACCCCGAGCATCACCCCTTGAAAAGCACGGCCTCAGACAAGCGATACAGAAACGATCTCCAGCAGGAAAATTCATGTCAAACCCTTCCAGAATGAAAAGGCTGCTCCCCCGTGCTCCTGGGCTCCATCTCCCTGCTCCTGGACCAGACACACCACCGGGGTCCCCTCTGCCAAGGCAGGAAGGTTTGGCAGCAGCGGTGCCAAGACCAGCTGAGATCAGAAGATGTTTCTGTGCGGTCACCTCTTCCTGCCCTCCTCTCCCTTCCCTCGCTCCCCACCCGCAGGAAAAGGTTAAAAAACAAGTTCTTAAGTTGCAAACAGCAAAACAAACCCAGAAAAAGCTGTGAGTGGGAGTGAGGAGCTGCAGCGCCGGGGAAGGGGGACAGTTGCCAGGAGCAAACCCGGGTGGGCAGCAAAGCATGGCCAGATCCAGCAGCTCCCACTGCCACCAGAGCCCCCAGCCCTCCCGGGGACCAGGCCAACACCCCCAGCTCCCCATTTCCACACAGGACACCCCAAATGGCACATGCACAAGTTTCCTTTTAAAAAAAAAACTTTACATCCAAAATACTCAGTGTTTCAGTCCTTTATTAACAGCTCCTCTCATACAAACCCCCCAAAACTGAGCCACAATTCCCACTAAACACCACACCAGCGTGGGGCTTGGCTCCGGACCCACCGGGCTGCCCCACATCTCCCCACGCAGAGCAAAGAGCACGATCCCTTCCCAACACACTCAGACGTGCACAAAGGTTGACAGTTATTGCTTTACTGCGGGATCCTAACGCCAGTAATAAACAACAATAACCGCAAAGAGCCTCTCTCCCTGCCGGCCACACAGACGAGATCCCAGCCGAGGCAAGGTTAATTAGTTTGGTTATTTCCAGCCAAGGAATGAAATGGTTGCCCCATGACCATGACGCAGGCTCAAAGCAAAGGGAGGTAGGAAATGGCAGTGACTGTACCAGCATTATCTGACCAACCGTGGGCTGAGTGCTCCTTGGCAAAGTTGAGACTGAAGCAGAAAATACAAAAACCCATTCCATAAAGCAGAAGCCATGCCAGAGAGCTCCATGGCCCAACCAGGTCTGTCACTACATTTAATGATCTTTATTTTAAAGCTGCAATAGGGGGGAAAAGAAAAGTTTTCTTTAAAAATAGCAAAGCAGCTCCAGGAGCACACCAAGCTCCCAGCAGAGTGTCCCCATCCCACTCTGCAGTCCCAGTGCCAGACCAAAGCTGGACACAGTTTACACCTATTGCATAAAATTGATGGCATTAAACTTGCTGCCATGAAGACTTGGGGAGCGAGCGGACGTTACATGGTTTTTCCTCAGACTGTACTCACTTAAGAGTAAGAGCAAAGCTCTTGCAGAACTCAGAGCAGGACCCCTGGCAGAAAGGACCCTTATTTCTCTGAAGAAAACAATATTCAGTATTTCACTGGAAACCCCCCCATGTCCGAGTGGCCCCGTGGAGCTGGGACGGTGGCACCCCCAGTGCTGGGTTCAGCTCAGCCCCTGTTTCCCCCACTACTCACAGGGGTAGAGATGAAAAAATAAACCCTGCCCCAGCAAAGCCATTATGGAGCTGTTTGAGGGTGGTACCCGCTGCTGGGGCACCACTGCCCGGCATCCCAGGGACAGGCAGATGCTTCAGGGCGCAGAGCAGCGATGCTCTGGGGAGCACAGGACCTTTGTGTGTCCCCATCACAGGGAGGTGGTGTCCCCCCACCGCAGGGAGGTGTCCCCCCATCGCTCCCCAGACCCTGACCCCCAGGAGCGATCAGACCCAAACGGCATCTCCGTGTGCCCCCACGTCGGGTGCCGGCGGGAAGGGAAGCCCATGTTTAACCACCTGCACCAGGCTCCCTCTGATGTTCTCCAAGTGAAACTTGACGCTGCTCGGCAAAGACACACCTCTTCCAGGGTGTTGTGCAAAATTCTGCATTTTAACGTAGGACAGGAAATATGAAAAGAGCCGGGCAGAACCCAAACAGCACCCTCGGTTAGGCCGAGGGTTCACCAGCTCCAGCGGCAAATCAAAGGGTTTGCTTCCCTTATCCATCCTCCCGAGATTTTTCCAGTGCTTTGGAAGTTGCAGTTCCTTCGCTCACAGGTTTTTAAGGATTGGCATTGCCGCTTCCCTCTGGAGCAGCTCTGCAGAGGGCTTTTTTCCCTCCCTTCTCTTTCATGCTTTATTTCCTGACTCCACAGTGGGATGGGTTGGTTGCAAAAGATTCTCATTCCCTTTTTGGGATTCGTTTTGGCCTTCTGGTTTTATTCTGCGAGGGATAATTTCAAACCGGGTAAGTATTAAAAGTGAATCTGTCTTTAAGAAAAAAATATTAGAAGCCACATTTGAGTGTTTTGCATAGAAACTGTGCAGAGCTTGGACCAAACCACGCCTGAGCCTTTGTGTGGTGGGCGATGCTGGAACGTTGTTTTAACAAAGGTTTTAAATCAAACTGAGCAAGTAATATGCAGAAATACTTCCCGAGGGAGCAGGTGAGACAAGGGGTCTGAGACAGAGGGGGCTCTCAACGCTCCATTTGCCAGTGGGCAGCAAAAGAATTTATAAACATGGCTTTTAAATGTTGGATTTAAAGTTTTGAAGCGTGCATTTAGTAGATGACTTTTATCACAAAGTTGGTGGGATATTTCTAAGTTGTTGTCCTGATTTATGGAAAAAACTGCAGGACGAGGGGAACGCTGTCCCCGAGTCGCTGCATTCCGTGAGGAGCCACAGCTGCTCCTCAGCACAGCTTTTTCCAGCAGATGGAAGAGACGTCCTGCTGCCGGACGCTTTGCACTTGTGGGCTCGTTTAGCTTCCAGTTAACTACTTACTCTGAAGGACGTTAGGGTTTGGGATTTTTTTTTTATTTTATTTTTTTTTCTAAATAGCATTTGGATAAATTAAATCCCCGTGCCTTGGTCCCCAGAGATGCTGAAAGGGAAGCGGGTGATCGTCACCGGGGCGAGCAGCGGGATTGGAGAGCAGATGGCGTATCACCTGGCACGGATGGGGTCCCACATCCTCATCACAGCTCGGACGGAGGCCAAGCTACAGAAAGTAAATGGCAAGCTGGGCACTCACACGGGCACGTCCCTGGCGGTGCACACACAAACATAGAAGGCCAGTCTCACATCACAGGTACATACATGAGGACGTGCAATCACCAGGGCACAGGTACCAGCGAGGCACAGTCACACTTGTGCTGTGTGGGGATCCTGCATGCACAGAAACCCCTCTCCTGCAGATACAGGCACTCTGCAAAGCACATATTAGGGTATTTGAACTTGCTTAGTTAAGTACACATATCCCTATCCACACAGCCTGCCTCAGCACACACACACCCTCATTCCACTGCAGTGATATACACACTCCTGCTCACCCTACACGCACGCACTCCTGGCACACACCGCCTCGGGTAATGCATTCACCAAAGGGATAATTTCTCAGGCTCCTTTTGAAGCTTAAAAGGCTCCAGACACACTCCTGAAACCCCAAACCGCTGCTTGAAGGTGGGGATACATGACACAGAACACTGACCCCCCCCTCTTTGGCTCCCGTTGGGGGGGGAGCGTGTGTGTGACACGTGGTGTTGGTGCAGGTGGTGGAGCGGTGCCTGGAGCTGGGGGCAGCCTCGGCGCGGTACGTCAGCGGCACCATGGAGGACATGGCCTTCGCCGAGCACGTGGTGAAGGAGGCAGAGACCTCGCTGGGTAGGTTTACAGCCCACCCTCCACAAACAACAGCAGAACATCCCATCTCGCCTTGGCCGGGCTGCTCGTTGCCACATGGCCACTAAAACGAGCAGGAGAGATGGGGATGGGGCGAGACGGGAGAGATTTTTTTTCCCTAAATTCTCCCCTTTGCAATCTCGCTTCTCTGCCCAGCTTCAAACTGAACTGCGCTCTCGATTTCAGCTCTGTGCCCTCGTGACATCCTGTTCTAGGATCATAATCCTGGATTTCATCACCCCTCGGCTACTGCGGTCTGAAACCCTCCATCGGGCCCGTAGCAGCCCTGCCATTGCGGTCATGGGTCACGGCTGCGGTAACGCAATCCTTCCCGCCCCGGCCCCACAGACAGCTTGAGGGTCACCTCCCTCGTGCCACGGCATTTGTGTTTTGAACCAGGAAATTAAAAAAAAAACAAGGACCAAATTTTTACTGGCAGCCACCATCCGGAATATATCCCCCCTCCAGAGAGGACAGGCTCTGATCCAAACACCTGGGTTTTTTTAATGACATTTATCCTGCTCCCAGGAAAGGCTCTGCTGGGTGAAGCCCTCTCCCACCCAGCACTAATCTTTAAGGTCCCTTCCAGCTCTAACCCTTCTATGGTAACGCCAGCTCCTCTGCTTGCAGGAGGCCTAGACATGCTGATTCTTAATCACGTCGGCGCGTCGTACTTCGGTTATTTCAATGGGGACGTTGGGCACGTGCGGAAGCTCCTAGAGATCAACTTCCTCAGCTACGTGGCCATGACCGTGTCCGCCCTGCCCATGCTGAAACAGAGTGAGGGCAGCATCGTCGTGGTTTCATCCATGGCAGGTGAGTGGGAGAGAGGTAGGTGACACGGGATTGAGTCCAAAGACACCATGGGCTGATTTTCAGAAGTAAGCAGCACTCGGAGACACCGGGCATCCTAAAGGAGCCATAACTGCATAACACACTCCACAAACCGACAAAAACCACAAACCAACCAAAAAACCCCAAGCAAATCCAGATCTTTTTTGTATTTTCTCGATGGAATTTGTTCTCTGATGCAATCCACTCGCCCCAGCTTGCTTTTTGGCCAGCCCTGCAATTAAACCAAACACCCCGGTGTCAGGCTCATTAGAGCAGCAGAGCTCATACACCTCCAGTTTTACAGAGAAAAGCGGAAATGCAGTAATTTCTCACCACATTGGATCTCTGACCGTTCATCCTGGTTTGGTAGGTCAGGTTCCTGCTAATATTTGTAAAGCGAGTTATTAACTGACTCTATTCACAAAAACATGACTCGGTTCTCATAAATTTCTGTTAAGTCAGGAAACTAAATTACTAACAGATGTCCCTGCTCACAGCCAGTGTGATGGTTACTCTTGTGGTGATCAGCTTAGCTCAGGATCCAGAGACAAGAGCTTAAACTTTGCTCCATCTCTCCCCTCGAGGGTTTCCTGGTTCATGCAGAACATGAGACAGGGTTTTGGCCTTAAGATCTTAAAAGAGCTGGGAGCTGACGGGAATATTTGTAACGCTGCTGTTCAGGTGCCAGGATGACATTTCACTAACAGTAAACTCCCTTTGGGTAAAATACTTTATGTGATGAAGGGCAAAACTGAGGTTGGGGCAGAGCAGCTTTCCGTGCTATAACAGAACTTCACTCTGTGTCCAGGTAAAGTCGGGTTTCCCTTTACGGTCCCCTACTCTGCAACTAAGTTTGCCTTGGATGGATTTTTCAGCTCCCTGAGGCAGGAATTCACCATTCAGAGCATCAATGTTTCCATCACACTCTGCATCCTTGGCTTCATCGATACCGGTAAGATCGGCGCTGTCTGATCCAGAGGATCAGGAGCTGAGCATCAGCTTCTCACCCTCTCATCCTGCTCTTCAACTCCCTCTGCCACCGACTCTCCCCTTCCACCTCTGCTGCTGCTTCTCCTCCAGCCCTGCTGTAGCACGAGACGCTCTGGTCTCTGGGGCATCCTACCCCCCTGCTGTAGCACGAGACGCTCTGGTCTCTGGGGCATCCTACCCTAGACTGGTTTGGGTTGGAAGGGACCAGCTGTGACTGGTTATAGAATGGTAGGTTGGAAGGGACCAGCTGTGACTGGTTATAGAATCGTAGGTTGGAAGGGGCCTTGAAGATCATCTAGTCCAACCATCAACCCAACTCTGATAAAAACCAACACTAAACCAGGTCTCTAAGCCTCTCCAAATAGGAGAGGGCAACAAAGCTGGTGAGGGGTCTGGAGAACAAGTCTCATGAGGAGAGGCTGAGGGAGCTGGGGGTGTTCAGCCTGGAGAAGAAGAAGCTGAGGGGAGACCTTCCCACTCTTTACAACTCCCTGAAAGGAGGGTGTAGCCGGGGCGGGTTGATCTCTTCTCCCAAGGAACAGACGATGGGACAAGAGGAAACAGCCTCAAGCTGTGCCAGGGGAGGTTCAGATTGGATGTTGGGAACAATTTTTACACGGAAAGGGTTAGTAAGCTTTGGAATGGGTTGCCCAGGGGGAAGTGGTTGAGGCACCATCCCTGGAGGTGTTCAAAAGACGGGCTGACATGGTGCTTAGTGCTATGGTTCAGTGATGGTTTTCATCAGTTGGGTTGATGGTTGGACTCGATGATCTTAAAGGTCCCTTCCAACCCAGACAATTCTGTGATTCTATGTAGCATGGGAAAAGAAGTGAGTTTTAAGACTCTTTTTTGGTGGAAGAGAGGTAGGATCCACCAGAGGCCGGGCTGGACGGGGCTTTGAGCACCTTGGTACGGTGTGGGGTGTCCCTGGGCAGGGCGGGGGGTGCTTTAAAGGTCCCTTCCACCCCGAACCGCTCCGTGATTCTGCGCCCCATTTTGACCACCGTTTCCCCACCCGATGACTCAACGGGACGCCCTTGTTCACCCCCCCCTCCCCTTCCCGCGCTGACCCCTCTCCCCGCGCAGAGAGCGCGGTCCGCGCCGCCGCCGACCTGCTGCTGGTGGCGCCGGCGCCTCGCGCCGAGTGCGCGCTGGAGATCCTGAGGGGGGCGGCGCTGCGCCGGCGCGAGCTCTACTACCGCTATGGGGCCACCCGCCTCCCGCTCCTCCTGCGCGACTGGGCCGCCGAGCTGCTCGACTACCTGGTGCGGAGCCGGTACCGGCTGGACCGACTGAGGAAGAACCCCCCCGACACCACTCCTCTCGGTACCGCTCCCCCCGCCAACTGAAGCCGGCCTTACCGGCGGCGGCCGCCGGCTCGGGGAGGGTCGCTCCGCCGGTACAACACCCTCCTCTGCCGGCGGAGAAGGGGCCGCGCAGCCGCTCCGCCCCGTCCCGCCGCTTTGCGCTTCCCAAACTCGCCAGATTTCGGCGTTTTAGCAGATGGCAGCGGCTCCGGGCGCGGAAGAGGAGGGTTAGGCTACCCCCCCCCCCACCCCGAGCCGCCGTGTCCCGCCTGGACGGGCCCGTCCCCAGCCCCGGACCAGGGAAAAGTAGTTACAAACTTAATTAGTAAATAAAATTTACTAACCCGACGGTTTGGCGCGTTCTGTGGGTTCCTTACCCCCCGTCTCCATTAGGAAATGCTGCTGTGAACGGGCACAGCTCCACTGACGCCTTTCATCAGTAAGTTGAATCCTTGCAATAATCATTATTTGAGGAATAACTGCCTTTTTAGCTTATTTTTTTGTTCATTTAATGGCCAGATGCAAGTTTTTACCCCAAGCTGCCCTCAACCTGGAACCACAGCCTGAGCTGCTGCACTTGCACATAACGTGGTTCTGGCCGTTGAAGCACCAACCCTTCTGAGACAAAACAACACAAAACTGGGACTGTTTAGTTTGAGGAAGAGGAGGCTGAGGGGAGACCCCATCACTCTCTACAACTACTTGAAAGGACATTGTAGAGAGGTTGGTGCTGGGCTCTTCTCACAGGTCATTAATGACAGAACGAGAGGGAACGGCTTCAAGCTCCAACAGGGGAGGTTTAGACTGAACATTAGGAAGGAATTTTTCACAGAAAGAGTGGTCGGGCATTGGAACAGGCTGCCCAGGGAGGGGGTGGAGTCCCGATCCCGGGCTGCGTTTAAGGGATGTTTAGATGGGGTACTGAGGGACATGGTGTAGGGGAGGACTTTGTAGAGTAGGGTAGATGGTTGGCCTTGATGGTCCCAAGGGTCTCTTCCAACCTGAATGATTCTATGATTCTATTAAAACCTCCCCAAACCCCCCCCGCCGAGGCGCTCCCCAGGATGGGTTTGCTCCTCACTTTCTAAAGGAAATCAGGAACTGGTATTTCTCTTCTCCTTACCCAGGGATTGCCTACACAAACCAGTGCACGTGGAGTGGGTTTTGCCCTTTAAACTTTCAGAAAATGATTGGCAAACCCATTTGCCACAAGCCCAGGCAGATGCTGAGCGGTGTGACACGCAACACTCGGGAAAGCTGGAGATCTTTATTGTTCACTCACGTGGCTCTTTCACTGCCTCATGCAACCAGTGGGTTCCTCAAGACAAGGGTGCCATTTTTGAGGTGTAAGAGCCCCTCAGCAAACAGCAATGGTGGCATCACATAGAGTAAGCTAGAATCATAGAATCATTCAGGTTGGAAAAGACCCTTGGCATCATCGGGTCCAACCATCACCCCTACTCTACAAAGTTCTCCCCTACACCATATCCCCCAACACCACATCTAAACAGAAGCACTGATAAAGATCTGAAAAACACAAACTTTGCCAGCCCTGCTCTCTCTAGATGTTCCTATGAACCTGTCCCACCATGATCACCAGTTAATAAATCCTTGTGGCAGCCAGCAGGGAAGGGAAGTGTTGACATGGTTTTAGGGACAGAGTGGAGAGAGGGAAGGATGCCCATTCCACAGAGGGCTGCACGGAGGGGACAGAGGTGTCCCAGCCCCAAAGGCAGCCACCAAACACCACTCCCCCAGGGCAAACAGCTTTTCAGTGCCTTGCCTTCAACAATCTCACACACACCTGAAACTCCTGGCAGGACAAGGGTGCAAAGGGACAGCCTAAAGTCCAAAGCGACGCGCTCCGTTAGGTTAATGTTTGCTAAATTACAGGAAGCACAAAGAAATGGTCCGACAGATACCAGCGAACTTGTGCAAGACAAGAGTCAGTTCAAAGCTGCCAGCACTCCCACCTGCAACCGACTGAGGTGTCCCCCTCCCTCGCTCAGAGCTGCAGAGCCTGTCTCACTCCTGCCCACACTTCTGCAGCAGGATGGGTCTGCTCCTGAAGATTTTCATCCCCTTGCTGGGAGCTGCACTGGCCTTTTATTTTTATTCAGCACCTGAGAATTTCAGTGAAGGTAAGTCATTGGAAAAACGGGCTTTAAAACAGCAATCGGGGAGGCTGCTGCCAGAGAGGCAGCGTGTGCCCACGCACAAGAGCTCGGGCCATTAAGAGCCTTTCATTCCCGGCTGGAAAAGCCAAGGTGTGGGAGGGCTGAGCACTCGGAGGGGAGTGAGAGCACCCTGTGCCATGCTGGAAAGCTCAGGGGATTATGGTGGGGTCTGCTGGGACACACAGAAAGTGTCTGATCTCAGCAAATGATTTATTTGGGAAACGTGCAGCCATCCGCTTCAAGCATTTAATCATTTTATTAGCCAACTCTCGCCATTTCCAAAAGCCACTCCCAAGCCAGGCTGGATTCTGAGCTCAAGCCTCCCACGTGCTCCCTGCCAAACTGGGATTAACTACTGGATCCCAGTGGGGGTCTGCACGAGCGGTGCACGCTGCCGCTGCCTGCAGCCCCCTGTGCCTGGGGGCAGAGAGGAGCCACAGTGCCCGCCTGCGGGGAGATGGTGTGGGCTGCACCGGCTCTGAGCCCTGCACCCTCCTCCCCAGAGATGCTCCGGGGGAAACGGGTGATCGTGACAGGAGCCAGCAGCGGCATCGGGGAGCAGATGGCCTATCACCTGGCACGCATGGAGGCCCACCTACTGCTCACCGCGCGGACGGAGGCCAAGCTGCAGAAAGTAAATGGCAAGCAGGGTGTGCTGGGTGGGCAAAACACATCCACAACCCAGAACCCCACAGGCAGGCAGAATGCAGATATTCACCCCAGTCTGGGCACACGAGGACACCAGATACCCTACGGATCCACCCAGTGCAAGCCTTTTCTGACATACACACCCCCCACCACAAGAAATTGCATTTTCGATGCTGGCAGCACGGCATTTCTTTCTCCACAGTCTTCAGCTGTGAATTCTGAACTCCACCACCAAGGACACCACCAGTCTGTCCGAGGCCTGGGCTGATCAACCCTTTCTCAAAGTCTGAACTGTTTTTCCATCCCATATACAGCTGAATCATATCCCTAAGCAGTCACGTCCCTATTTATAAACACTATATATTTGGCTCAGATGTGCCATTGTTTAACTTTGCAGCCAGAAACGTTTCTCTGAGCGATGTATTTCCTCCCGAGAAGGGTTTCCAGTGGGACAGGGAGATGCACTGCCCATTCATCCAAAGGCAGCAACAGCCTCCATGGGATGGGGGGGGGGGGGTCTGTGGAGGGGGGTCCATCACCTATCACCTGGCACGCATGGAGGCCCACCTACTGCTCACCGCGCGGACGGAGGCCAAGCTGCAGAAAGTAAATGGCAAGCAGGGTGTGCTGGGTGGGCAAAACACATCCACAACCCAGAACCCCACAGGCAGGCAGAATGCAGATATTCACCCCAGTCTGGGCACACGAGGACACCAGATACCCTACGGATCCACCCAGTGCAAGCCTTTTCTGACATACACACCCCCCACCACAAGAAATTGCATTTTCGATGCTGGCAGCACGGCATTTCTTTCTCCACAGTCTTCAGCTGTGAATTCTGAACTCCACCACCAAGGACACCACCAGTCTGTCCGAGGCCTGGGCTGATCAACCCTTTCTCAAAGTCTGAACTGTTTTTCCATCCCATATACAGCTGAATCATATCCCTAAGCAGTCACGTCCCTATTTATAAACACTATATATTTGGCTCAGATGTGCCATTGTTTAACTTTGCAGCCAGAAACGTTTCTCTGAGCAATGTATTTCCTCCCGAGAAGGGAGAAGGGTTTCCAGCGGGACAGGGAGATGCGCTGCCCATTCATCCAGAGGCAGCAACAGCCTCCCTGGGATGGGATGGGATGGGGGGGTGTCTGTGGAGGGGGGTCCATCACCAGCACCGCTCTCGCTGTCACTGCAGGTTGTGAAGCAGTGCCTCGAGCTGGGCGCCGCATCCGCCCGCTACGTGAGCGGCTCTATGGAGGACACCAAGTTCCCTGAGGTGGTGGTGAAGGAGGCTGAGAACACCTGGGGTAGGTGATTACCCTCCCCTCACTCCTTGACACCTCCCGTCCTCCTTTTTGGGCCATCCCAGCCACCAAGAAGCTGCTTTGGTTTGAGGTTGCTAACAGCAAACACACTCTGCTTCCAGGGGGCCTCGATATGCTCATCCTAAATCACATCGGTTACAGCTACTTCAAGTACTTCGATGGGGACGTTGGGCACGTACGAAAGCTCCTGGAGACCAACTTCCTCAGCTACGTGGCAATGACCGTGTCCGCCCTGCCCTTGCTGAAGGAGAGCGAGGGCAGCATCGTTGTCGTTTCATCGATGGCAGGTGAGCACTCCCTGCCCAAGTCCCCTCCTCTTCCTGCACCCGATTCCTGCTCCGGCTCTTCTTCAAAAGACAGAGTAAGGACCATCAGGCAGAGCCACCCTGCTGGGAGTCAGGATCAGCCCATGATTTATAGCCTGGATGCACAATTCAAGTCCTCTGGGGGATTTATATTCCATGCCCTGTCCTGCCAGTCTCTGCACCCACTCATTGCCTTCATGGTACACCATACACCACTGCAGGTTGTTTTGTGTGCTCAGCCACCAACTGCACATGCCTTTGCTGTCCAGGGGTATGTATGCAGGAATACAAGAACAGTATCACCCACAACCGAAGCTACCTCATGCCATTGTATGCCATGTGCAGGAATACAAGAACAGTATCACCCACAACTGAAGCTACTTCATGCCATTGTATGCCATATGTTCCATTTTAAACATTCCTGAGCTTGTTTATTGCTCTCACCAACACCCTAAATCACAATATTAGAGATACTTGAAGGGCAGGAGCAAGGGAGCGCTGTGCAGGCTGGTGTCTGCCCAGGACACAAACCCTGACGTTGTGTCCCTCTGCTCCAGGTAAAACCAGCGCCCCATTTACTGCTCCCTATTCTGCAACTAAGTTCGCCTTAGACGGATTTTTCAGCTCCTTGCGACAGGAATTCATCATAGACAAGGTCAACGTCTCCATCACACTCTGCATCCTGGGCTACATCGACACAGGTAAGCTCAGTGTCACTGGGGCTCTGCCTTTCCAGACGGAGCCCAGCTGAGCCCACCACCTGCCCAGTAAGCTGCTTAGCCATCACCAGCAGTGCAATGGTGGAAATGGGACCCCAATGCTTTAAAAAGTGTGGCCTGAGACCTTTGACTCTGCTGTCCTTGCAGGGAACCCCCAGGGGAGGTGGGGATTCCGTCCTCTATAATCAATCAAGAGGTGGAAAGGAATGGGAAGGACATTGCCATAATTGTTTTTTATTTTAACTATTGTAAGCTTTAAGTAGGTCTGATCCCCAGAGTTTGTTGCTTTGTTAAAGGAAGCTACAGCCCCCCCGGCTGAGCTGGTGGTGCCTGTGGCAGCCCCTCCATCCGACACTGCTCCTTCCCTCCCTGTCCTGCAGAGAACGCCGTGCGAGCGGTCTCACATGCCATCCGGGCCACGCCGGCCCCGAAGGAGGAGTGTGCACTGGAGATCATCAAGAGCGGGGCCCTGCGCCAACGGGAGCTGCACTACCCCTCCGGCACCGTGGGCACCATGCTCCTTCTCCAGGCCATCGCCCCCGACTTCCTCGACTCCCTCATCAGGAGCGGCTATAAGGTGGAAAACATCAGAAGAACATAGTCCCCAGGGCGGAGAGCACGCCGGGACACCTTGGACCAGGCACGAGGGATTTGGGTGTTCATCTGGCTTACTCGGGTGCCCTTTCCATGCCACCAGGGCAGCCCCACGCTGCTGCACCCTGGCAACCTGAAATGGGATGCACCAGGAGCCTGTGACACACAGCATGAAAATGTCTTTTTTAGTCATGAACTCTTGAAACTGGCTTTTTCCAACTATGAGATACCTCAGAGAAGCCCTGGGCAGCAGGATCTCAGTGTCCTGCTCCCCTGCAGGTTTCCTGCTCACCCCCCAGACCCTGTCCCCCCCCAACCAGCCCCAGGGGCAGCGATGCCAGCGCTGCGGGAAGGGACCCCAGCCCAAAACAAGGATTTGGGCCAAGCGGCAAAAACCACCCAAACCCACCACAGCGTCTTTGAACCAGGAATTATTTTTTTGTCATGTATCCCTTCTAGGCTGGCCTTTGTAAAAATAAATCCTACGTTACTTTACGAGATCTCTGCCTTTCCTTGTGTTCCTTTTCCACGTGCACAGGCACAGCGCCCTTATCAGCGCCCAGCTGGTTAAACCGACCGCCCTGCATGATTTGCATTAACGCAGCTTTCACTTCTCTAAAGACCTTAATGAATTTCTGCCATTCCTGACCTCTCCTCAGCTGCCGATACACACTTTTTTTTTTTCCCCTTTCCAAGCTGCAAGAAGCCTTAAAATAATAGCATTACTGTACTTCCCTAAGTCTGGATTTCTCTACCCCAAAGCACCTCAGGGAGACTCAGTCACCGAGTGCCACAAGAACCAGCACTCGACCTGCGCGTGGTGGAGACCGATAAAGGGAGATGGCCCAAAAGATAATTGCTGGCTCTACTTAGAGAGAAGCTGGAGACTTTGGGGTCCCAAGATAACCCGAATCCCCCGGGGGGCCAGGCCCCTGTACCCCACAGCCGGTGCTGCGAGCGGAGACAGGAACCGGGGCTCGGCTGCGGCTGCAACGTTTCCTGTTTGACAGAGCGAGAAAAGGAGCGAGAGCAGCAAAATGAGGTGGTTGGCACGAAGATGGCAGTTGGAGCGTGTTCGTGCCCGATAACCCCCCGCTCACCCCGCTCCTCCGCTGCAGTCGAGGGGTAGGACGGGACCCCCCGGGCCAGGTAAGTGCCCGCAGCACCGGGGCTGGCGAGGGATGGAGGGGAGCAGAGGCTGCCGCGCTAAAGGCAGCAGCGTGCACCTTCTTTCCTCTTTTTTCACCCCGTTTTCAGCCTACACCGCTGATACCAGGAGGCTGTAACATGAACCAGCAAGAAGCACTTCATTTTTTTTTTTAGTTTCCCTTGAAGCAAGAAGTGTAACAGCTTGGAAAGCAAAGATAAAGGACATGTTTGTTAGAGAGGGTAATTTGGGGTAACAGAAGGAGGAAATAGAGTATGAGCTTGTCAAGAAGGCCTCAACAGTTTGCTCAGCTTGGGGTGAGTAATGGACTGTGTATTTCTTTAAGCTTTAGCTTGCCTTAAAGTGCATTTTTGGTGAAGGGAGGCTGTTCACGAGGGCTGCTCTGGGGATGCAGAGTGCCCAGAGGCAGCGCAGGTGGGAGAGGGGCTGAGCAATTCCTGATGGGAAAAGCTGCATGTGCACCGAGCACTGAGCACGACATCCGAGGTCCGGACTGACCATGCAATTGGGCCATTTCTAAAATTAAGAAGAGTTAGTTGAAAAACGCTTTTAAGGTGTCCTGAAGAGCTCGGAGCAGGCTGTAGACACACGTTTTGTCTCAAGCTCTGGGGTTCGTACCCAGCTTCAAGGGAGATACTGCAGGGTCCTGGCGTATGCCCAGATTGCGTTTCATCGTGTGAAACTGTTGGGCAGACCTTGTCTTGCTGCTGGGCCAAGGAAAGCACCAAGGGATTGTTATCCTAGGGGCACGAAAGCTGCATGGGAATACCCTGCTCAGCCTTTTATACCCCCAGGCTCCTCCAGCTGTATCACAGCAAGAAACACCCGAACGGTGAAATACTGTTGCAACCCTTCAGTAAATTTAAGCTAAAATTAGAGCCGGTTAAGAAGCTATTCAAATAAGCCCTTCAGTAAATTTAAGCTAAAATTAGAGCTGGTTAAGAAGCTATTCAAAGAAGAGAATCATAGAATCATAGAATTGCCCAGGCCAGAAGGGACCTCCAAAGGTCATCTAGTCTGACCCCCCCCCCGCAGTCAGCAGGGACACCCCCAAGAATATTCAAATAAAAATCAATAGAAGGACATAAGCAAGTGCCACACTTCAGGGGTGTCAAAGGCCACATCGCATGTGGGCTCAGGGTTGGGAGCAGCGTCTGGGCTGGTGGTTTGCAGCACTTTTCCTGCCCAGAGCAAGAGCCGACCATCCCCAAAAGCACTGCAGAGTCCGATACCTCACATTTATTTAATCTCGGAAACAATCTGTTTTCACTCAAATCGTGTCTTTTCCCTTGGTTTCATCAGGACACAGGATCTCGGGGTGGCCGGGGTGGTCCAGAGCTGTGCCCACCATGATCAGCCAGCCCGAGAAGACACGGCCGCGGCGCCGGCGCGAGAGCTATGAAGAGAAGTGTGAGCGGCGACATGAGACACGGGAGAACCTGCGGCGGAGACACAACCTGACGAGCTGCCGTCACCTCGGGAGGGGAGCGGAGGAGCCACCGCAGAGCCCCCGGCAAAGGGAGTTCCTGAGGAGGAGAAACCTGGCGAGCGATGCTGGGAGGACACCGCCGGGACAGGAGGCCGAAGCACGTGTCCCCCCGGTCTCCTCCTCACGGGTGGATCCAGGACCATCCATCCTGCTCCAGGTAACGCCTGCCCTCAGAGCGCAGCTCAATGCTCTGCCTGCTCGGGCTGGCAGCCCTAAAGCATCCACAGCCCAACCACCGATCGCAACAGCATCGGGATCCAAATCAAAGTACAGACAAAAAGTGAGAAAGCACCAACAAAAAAGTGCATTTCCTTATCAGCTGCAGAGTCAGGCACAGGTAAATGCTGTCACCTCCCTCCCAGCACGCTCCTCTCCCATTTTCCAAACCCCAAACCAGATGGAGATTTTTCATCATTTCTCCAGGTACAACCCCACATCCTCCCTGCCAGGTTGCAAAAATTATTTTTACCCTTGAAACCTGAGGTCTAAACACCAGGCTTCCCTCCATCACCTTCACTGCGAGCAGGAAGGGTGCAGGAATTAGGAGACTCCCTGATACTCCTTCCCACCCGGCACAGCTCACAGCAGCCCAGGGGGCTCACTGCCTTCAGTAACACCTAAACAAAAATGCAATGCAAAACACCCCAATCTGAAAACCAAACAGATTTCCTTTTAAACTTATATCCCGTGCAAAATGAATAATTCCCCTGGTATGTCGTGAGTTCACAAACCTCTGTGAGCAGAGACAGCTGGACGGGAGATGACTTTGGCAGGCACACCCTCAAGCTCCCTCAGCTCTCCTCTCCCGTGCAGAGCAATTACCTGCCTCCTGCTGCCTTTCGGTTCACTGGGTTTAATCCCCCACTAGACAGCAGGAATCTGGAACAAGCATTTACATGGCACGGCCCATGCTCAGTGCCTTCCCCTCTTTGCTGCTGCAGAGCTATGGAGGGCTGTGGGGACAGAGGGGCAATGGGGCAAGCACCCTGCTCCCCCTGCCCCACAGGGAAGCCAGAACAGAACAGGTACCTCTGCTCCAAGGCAGCCAAATGGTAGCAGGGACCCAAGCCAGGACCCAGCTCCCTGTCACCAAAAGTCCGCATCTTTTCCAAAGATATCTCAGGACACTTTGGGAGGGTTCCTTGTCTTGTTCTGGTGTCTCCCCTCGAGAAGCCAGCAGGGTTTCCCCCACTTACCCCCAGAGCTCTGGAGCTGCTGCAGCCACACCGGCAGATCCTTGTGCATTTGCTGTGGTTTCTTGGCATCTGCTTGATGCTCTTCACCCAGTCACTGCAGGGACAAACCCTGATCCAGCCACAGCCCATTCTGGAGAGATGCTGACTTGAGCCACCCTCTCATTCCAGCACCCTCGGAGCTGCCCTGTGTTCCCCCCTGCGCTCTCCCCGCTCAGCCTCAGCATCCCCCGCAGCATTTCGGCAGAAGCCATCCCCAGGCGAGGTGCCTCCATGAACACCCAAGGTAGGTGAGGGATGCTTGGGTTCCCCAGCAGCCACAGCGTTTCCCTCCCATGTCTAGTCTCCATCAAGCTGTTTGGGATGGGAGGCAGGAGCTCCCCTTGAAGCCAAGCTGCCTTCAGCCCCACACCTCCAGTAAATTCCACCATCCCAGTCTGAGTTTCCCCTGCAAACTGCAGGTGTTAAGAACATTTTTCCTGTGGAGCAATAACCCAGCCCGTGGTTAATGACCCGTGCTGCTGCTCTGCCCTGCAGCTTCCCTCTAAGGACTCCAGATTATCCCTGGGGCTGGGGCTGACCTCAGCCCATGGGACCACTTAACTTCTACTTCTCTGTCCTTCTGAGCAGGACTCTCCTCTGCCTTTTGTCCCCACTGAGCTGTGTTACTGGATGCCACTTAAACAGCTGCTCTCCAGCCTAGAGGCGATGCAGAGACAGCAGAGACGCTCAGGAAAAACAACTTCACAGCCCCTGGGACAGGGGATCTGTCACATCCCTTTGCTTTGCTTTCACAGGAACCCAGACCCCCACAAATCCAAGCACAGGAGTGAAGGACTCGAGCCAGCAGACAGAGTAAGATGGTGCTCCCCTCCCTCCCCGGGCTGTGAATTCGGGTACCCCCCGGGCACCAGCCTCCGATGCCCAAACACGTTTCACCTCAGCACAAACCTTCGCTGCACAAATACCCCCACTCTGGTGGGGCAGCGGCTGGTGCCCACAGACTGCTCCAAACACCCCCCACTCTCCTCAGTAACACACTTTCTTTTTTATTTTAGTTGTGGAATAGCAGTTCTAAATAAGGTAAGCAAAACACAGATAATAACGAGCCTTGAACTCCTGCAAATGAAATCAGTTTCTAAACTTTTTGACCAGGCCATTGACTGATGCTAAATTTCTCTTATTTCAAAAATGATGATTTTGCTCCTATAAGCAAGAAATGCCCTTCTGTCCCACGGGTATCTGCTGAGCTCTCCCAGGAACTGCCCCGATTTGACACCCTACATGGCACAGATGCCTTAAGGCCAATGCTGGAAGTTGCTGCAGAAAATATTTACACTTCCCTGCAAAAACCCAAGCAAACAAAGCCCAGCAGGGCTCCTCCTCTGCCCAGGCTCAGCCTGTGAACTTCAGTTTTATTTCAAAATATTTGGGTCTTGTAGCCAGTTCATAAAATGTTTATAAACTGAAACAATCCTGTTGTTTTTAAACATTTGCCCTTTCCCTTTCAGGAAATAGTGCAGCTGTCCAACTACCTGAAGGTAGGTCCCAAATATCACATACCCACCGGGAAGGCAGGTCTTCAGCCAGTGCAACCCCACTTTTTAAATTATAATTATTCTTAAATAAAGAAGTGTTACATACCCAATCTTAACATGGCCAAGAAGGCCTACAGACAAGCCACTGAGCCCAAAGACCTGTCTGAAACTCCCCAAGTGGAGACAGCCCCAAGCTGGACAAGGAATCTGGGAGGTTCACACCAGCTCTGAGGGTTCCCCACCAGCTCTGGGGGTTCCCCACTGACCCACTCTCCCCTTCCCACAGGAGGCCCTGCACCGCGAGCTGCTGCTCAAGCAGAAGATGGTGATTTTGCAGGAGCTTTTCTCCACGCTGCTGCAGGCATCAGAAAAATCCTGGCAGGTACCGAGAGGCGCAGGAGGCGATTCCTGCTGGGGCTGGGGGAGGCTTTGCCCTGGTGGGACCCAGCTTGTGGGCAGAAATCAGAGCTCTCCACGTGTCTCACCTTCTTTCCAGGAGCTCAGCGCTCGCTCTGTCTGGCTTTGGGGCTTTATAGGCTTGGAGATGTCACAGCACTGTCACCTAGCCAGGACATGGAGCAGAACCCTCCACCTGCAATAGCTGCTTTGCCAGCCTCTCTCCTTGCCATCACTTTTCAGGGAGGGTTGAACTCAAACTCAGAAGTTAAAGGGTCATTTTGCTTGAAGTTTCTCCCCTTTTGTGCCCCAAAAGAGTGTTACAAAACGTACTTTGCTTTCAGATCAACAGGAAGTGTAAAACCCTTTTCTTCTGTAAGGTTTTGGGCTTTGTTTTTTTTAAATATATTTGTTTTTCCCACCTTTTCTTAAATAAAAAGCAGACAGAGCAAACAGCCTGCTGGGGAAGGGTTCTGAGCCCCAAACACAGGTCAGAGCCCCAGCACCACGATGCTCTGACACATCTGCTCATCCTTGGGGCCCCACATCAAGCAATTTCCCCCCAGCTGAAACAAAATCCTCCAGCCAGCACTGAAAACCAGGGCCCTTTTTTAATTTTTTTTTGGCTTTCAGGAGGTAAAATTAAGGTGACACATTTTACACAACATATGCAGTGTTTTATACAGGGCTTTTAAATCAAATATTAATTTACGGTTCATTGTGCCATTAAAAAAAAAAAGTGGTTTGAAAGTTCTGCTGGGGCAGAAAAGCGAGTGATTGGGTGAGATGGTGCAAAAAACTTGTGTTAGATGTACTGCGGTTAGAAATTTCCGCCTTCGCTTGCTTCTTCAAATATAATTTGAGCAGGAAAAAACACCCTGACAGACTCTGCAGGAAGTAGCCATGAAACCTCAGATTAGAAACAGGTGGGTGCACTTTGCTTCTCTCTCTCTCTGCTACAGAGGAGAGACTTTGCTGCTGCCTCTCACACTCAGCCTTTCACTGGACTAAATATTAATTTGCCGCTGGCACTGGAGCCAATGGGGCAAACGAGGGAGATGCTTGGGGGGTCCCTGGGAGCTGCCCTGAGGGAGGGAGGCTGGGGGGGCAAGGGGCTTCTCTAGGAGGTAAGGCCAGGTCCTGTACAATAATGCTGTGCCGTGGAAATGGATGGTTTGTTGCCCATTTCCAGGCCCAGGTGAGATGCCAAATGCTTGTTGCAGAGGCTTTTTGATCCTTTCCAATAGTTTGGGTTTCAAAGAAATGTGATTGCATACACTGGAATGATCAGGCAGTAACTCTTGAAATGGCCAGAGTCATTTCTGAGATGCTGCTCGTGCTCATGGGTGCTCCTGGTTTGATGGAGCAAGCAAATACTCCGCAAGAGGATGGGGTGTAGTTAAATTGAAAGGATAAGGCATTTGGTTCCTTCCCCCTCCCACGATTTTACTTCTAGGTAAGAGACACCTTCCTACCACAGGTCTGTACCTTAAGTCCTCCATCTGTTGTAAAACTTGCTTAGTTAATTCAAAAACGCTGCCAGATAAGGAAGCTAAGTCAGTCTCATTTATTAAGAGTAATTAGTTTAAGCAGTTCTCTTCTTAAAGAAGCAAATTGCTTCATTAATATATTTTCTTCCCTTTCTGACCTCTGAAGTGGAGCCTGACTTTTGGAAGTACCTTGCAGCTCTGCAGAGTTTAAGCTCTTTGTTATTTCCAGTGTGTTACTACTACGACGTGGACTTATTTTTCTAGCACAAGCATCATGTTTGGGCAAACTGGATGTCGTCCAGAAATGGCATTTATTATTACCATTTTAAAACAGCTATTTAAAATTACTACGGGAAGGAGTATCAGAGAATTCACTGATCACAGGACAACAAAAAGACTACAGCTGTCAGCCAAAACCAGTTTAAAATACTTACATGGCACTTAAATGACAGCCATAGGGAAATGCAGAAGAGTTTGAGAGAGGTTTTGGAGCTGCCCATTCAGGTAACCTCCAAGTGCTGCAGAAGAGGGCTACAGAGGATTCAGATCTAGTATTTGCCAAAGTGGGTGTATTTTGAGGGTGTTAGCCCAAATCCTGTCCTCCACGTGGCTGTCAGCCGGTGACCCCGGGCTCTCTAGCAAGGCACAGCACAGGGAACCCCAGGTGGGGTTCAAACAGTGTCACCAGGGACACGACAGAGGAGAGGAGAAACCACCACCCCAGTGATGGTGGCTACAGGGCTATTGTTTTGTTTATTTGTGGGTAGGGGGTTGTTTTGGGTTTGTTTTAATGGGTTTTGTGGGTTTTCTTTTTTAAAAAACAACAACAAAACCAACAACAGCCCCTTTCATGTAGATAGTCTTCAACACAGGGGTTTGACCAAGATTTGCTCACATAACTTTTCTGGTCAGAAGCATAATTTCTTATGCCCTCCCACGTATGTGCTCATACTCACTCACCCCTCACTGCCACGCTGTTCTGGTAACAGACAGCGTATTCCATTTAGGGAAATTTTTGTGTTCTTTTGCCAATTTATAAGCCGCATCTCCATGAAAGGAGTTTGCCAGCACATTTCTGCTCTCACGCGTGGGAAGGGCCCCGTGCTCTGTTGCCTTGTACTTTGCACAGTCATTTACACCTGTGCACAACGGCCGTAACACCACCCTCCAACGTGAGCCTTTGCAGACAGCACCATCAAATAAACTGCAGAGGAAAACTAGGCATGATACTTCACATATGAAAATTCTTTTCAAAATTCCACCTATTTTCTAAAAGGACAGAGCCGTTTGTATTTTGTACCAACAACCGAATTGGGAAGATTTGTTCTATGGGACTGTAAATTTACTCCCGTGGAAATTGAAACAGTGCTAAGATACCAGAGAATCAGGTTTTGCTTGGGTCTAACAGCCATTCCTGTAACATCAAGGAGTTGCTTTTTCAGAGGCTTGACTTCAAACAGCAGTAAGCAGAGAGGATACAGGCGTTCTCAGTATCGGTGGTGGAAAAACAGCCTACGTGAACTCTTTGCTAGAAATTTTATCTGAATTTGCATGCAGTCTGGTTTCAGAAAGCCCAAGAAGCCTGACTAACACCCAGAGGAGATTATAATAAGGAATATGAATCATCACTGTTGCCCTCTATCCCCCTGCCCAACTGCTAGATGTTGCAACGCAGACCCAACCTATCTCAACCAGCAAGACAAGACCTTAGCACCAGCCAGAGCTCTTCACGTTGTAGGGGGGGACCATCGGGCAGGGACCCACGGCCCCTACGCTCTGCCAACCCCAGCCAGACCAACCTGAAACCCCCTTGCCCCTAACATCTCATCTCACTCCAAAAACCTGCATTCAGTAACCCGGGGAACTGCCTCGGGAGAGTTTTTCAACGTGTAAAAGTCTTACTTCCCCATTTATTCTGAGATCACGAAGGGCTTATTTGTACTCTGAGCGTTGAAAAGACTTTGACCAAGCTTAATCACAATAGTCTAGATGAAGCAAAGGGAGAAAATGAATCAAAACACAAGCTAACAAAACGCTGGGGGTATAGCTCATGATTCCACACGTTGTTTTTTCCCCAGGGTCAGCTGAATGAAGATAAACTGAAGTGTAAACTACAGGCACTTGAAAATCAGCTGCAGGCCTGCACCCAGGTAATGTCTGATCACTGAGAAACTAACTTGATTGAAGAAAGGCATGAAAAGACCAAACTATGTAATTACGACAGGTCTCAGTTTCTAGAGCAATCTGATTAGATATGGATCTGAAAACGATTTTTCCTCTTTGCTGAAGCAACACTTCACAGTAAATTAGCAGTAGCATTTACACACTCTAGATTTGCTAATATTCAGGCTCAGCAAGATTAGAAATACGTCAGATAAAACTCTTCAAGCACCTTAATTCTTACTTTAAAGAGTTACTCAAAGGAGTGTGTGAAGAAGATCCTGATAGAGATGGAGGACCAGAAGCAGACCTACGAGCAGAAGGCAAAAGAGGCTCTTCAGAAGATGCTGGAAGATAAGCTCCAAACAGAGCAGCAGCTGCAAAACTCTCAGGTAAATAAATGTTTTACTCCTGGCTTTGCTTTCATCTACTCTGGCTGTGGCAGAGCCCCCACATTTCTAGGAAACGTGATGACCACCCTACCATTAGTAACAAAGATGCAAAAATACCATTTTTTAGCTACTAAGCAAAGTCCTTAGGGGCAACCTGTGCTCATTTTGTGAGCCATGCATCAAGGTATTTAAAGGAGCACACAGCTGGGGAAACATACTGCTATTTGGCAGTTTTAAGTGTAATCCCTTCATCTCCACCATCCCCTTCATCCCCTCCCCTGCTCTGCACACATGCAGGGAGTGACAAACCACACACAGAGCCATCCAGGGTATGAGGCCTCCAGAGATGCTTTCTCTGGAGCTGCTCTTTTATATGAAAATGGATTTTCCCCAAGAGGTAGCAATTTGCTTTGACCCACGGGATAACTGGTATTTTCAGAAAAACAAGTAAATCTTACCCCAAAGACTACCAGGCTTCTAAATCCTCCCAGCAGCATGGGACCTCAGGTTCCATGCCCGTGTTTGCTCTGTCCATCAGGTGGCATCAGCCCCACGCAGGTTATTACAGCCCCGGTGCCGGAGGCGGCAGCCGCCCCGGGCACAGCCCAGATGGTGTGAGCGCCCACGGGTGTCCTTCAGGGCATGGCCCCACCAGGCTGTGGGTCACAGCCCACCCATGGGTCCTCTCTCTCACCCCCAGAGAAGTCTGGCAGCAACGAGAGAGGACCTTGCCTTCTGGAAAGAGCACTACGCCACGCTCAAAGCCGAATTGACCAAGATGACCACGACGCACGCTGAGCTCGAGAACAGCTTCCACGATTTGCAAAGCCAACTGCAGGTACGTTAGTTCCCCACGGGAACAGCATCCACCAGAGTCTGCATTTTCCCATTTGCAAGCAGGGAAACCCCCCAGTTGAGATCACTACAGTCAAAAAGCCCCTTTGATCAAGCACAGCGGCCACACGTGCAACCTGGTCCTCAGCCCGGGGCTGCCTTTTGCTGCTGGAAAGTGGGTGATGCCACTGGCTCACTGTCTGTCCATGGCATGGTACTGGGCTGATGCTGGGACTCTTGTACCCCCCAGCGAGTGGCCGGGCAGAAGGAGCATCTCCAACAGGCCCTGCACAGCCTGCAGAGCGAGCATGCCGCGCTCCACCAGCGAGCCAGCGCCCTGCGCCAGGACAACAACCTGAAGGCAGAGCACATCAGCGCCATCGAAGGTATCGTGTGTAGGGGAATGAGGTTGGGGGGTCTGTTCTCCAAACAAACAGAGGATACGCAGAAAATACTCCTAAAACCTTAGTCCTTAAAGCCAAGCACGCACACACGTCTCTCTCCCTCTCTCTCAACATGTTGCACATCTCAGCTTGCCAAGAAAACTTCTGGTTGCCAAAAGGGCTCCTAAGGTAGTTTCCAACTAGGTTAAAGGACCTCAGGGAAGTCAAGTGACTTTGCTAGAAGAAAGGATGGAACGGAAGACCTCGGGGGGGTGGGGGTGGGGGAAAAGTCCTCAGCTTTCATGAGGGCTTTAGCATCCTTTGTCAGATCCATCAAACGCAGCACTACAAGCCTGTGCAGGTGGCAAGGCAGCACCTGCTACTGTCTGAGGTGACTGGGTGGGGGGGGATATCAGGGGCACATAAACACGTGCTAATAGTGCCTTAAGAGACCACACAAGATAGAGACAAGGAAACTGGTGAAAAACACATCCCTTCAGAGAAGGAAGTCCAGTAGCCAACAACATCCAGCCCACTTTACACACCTGGAGAAAGGGAAAGTTACCATCCTTGCAGAAAGATACACAGAAATTGACATCAACCTTGGTTACCTTGTTATTATTATTATTTCAGATAAATTGCAAAAAGAACAAAATCAGAAGTTAACGCTGGAGGCAACAATCAGCCACTTGCACAGTAAGTGACACAAAGATGTGGAAAGTAAGAGACTTATGTTAGCACTGCAGACGGTAACGGTGGCTTTTTCTGTTCACAGATTTGATAAAGAACCAGACCAACGAACAGAAGATGCGGGAGATGATGGTGCAAAGGAAAGGTCAGCAAACTTTGTAACTCCCACCTTGCAATCCTCTCACTGGACACAGGAGCATTAGACCTGACTCTAGCAGAAGTCTCCACTGGTTTAGAATAAATTATTATTTTAAAGCGGCACAAAACGAGTTATTATATTTTCTTAGTTAACATTAAACTGTGGGTGTATTTATGATAGCAAAGGCTGTAAAAAAATAAATGGATTTCATTGCAAATTCTACTTCAGTGCCTATGCCATTTTTTCCCCCCCAAGGAAAGTACATTCCAGTTTATAATTGCAACTACAGATGCATTTGAAAAAAAGTAATAAAAGACATTTTAACTCTCCCTCTCTTCCATTTCTGGCAACTACTTCGAAATATTCCTCTAAAGATGATTAACTTGCAGCTACAGGAGAAGCAGGCCTGTATAACTCAGCTCCTGTGTTCTCTGCTGTTCGTTGCATGCAAATATTATCTTTAAACTGTGCTGAGTAAACAAGATCTAAAGCAAACTGAAAGCCTGGACCTGTTTCTCATCAGAAGCCTGTTTTCTAGACCAGGTTTCCACCACGCAGACCCCACCTCTCACTCCTGCCAAGGAAAAACAAAACGCTCTGTTAGAGCGCCCCGAGGAGGAGGAGGGAGAAGAAAGTCTGAAGGATGAGATACAGAAAAGGACATCCCTGCTTACAGCAAAGGAGAACGAGGTGAGGAAGTCACTGAATCCCAGCTGGGGAGCGAGCTGCCGGTGTAAGTGCTCCTGCAGCACAACACAAAGCTCCTGGAAACAACCTGAGCTTAAGATCTCCTGTAGGGATTATCTCAGCCAAATTTTTATCCTGATACCAGCCTCACCTAAACCCCTGATGCGGCGTGTGTGTAAGGGCAGGGAACCAGTAGAGCTCTCCATACAAACCCATTTCTGCTCCCACAGATGGGAGTCTCAGCAGTCTCACAGGGAAAAGCCAAAGGCACGCTTTAAGAACTGAAGCCCTGAGCACAAAGGAAGGAGAGGAGGAAAAGAAAAGCCTTGCAAATAACAAGGAAGGCCTGCTAACAGAAGCAACGCCCTTACAACTAGGCTGCAAAAAAATACAAAGCTTTCCAACCTCTTACACCCTCTTTCCCGCTGTTTCAAGACACAAGACCGGTAGCACAAACTGGTAGCACAGCCCCACCATTCTTACAGCAGTACTTAGATAGAAAGGATTTATAAAAAAGGATTTATGACTTACCATAGCAGAGCTTAGAGCCAGGCAGGAGAAGAGCTTGTCCTACTGCCCCACACTGGTGAGTGCACCACCACCATCAGGCATCACCCAGCATCACCTGGGGAAGGGTTTTGTAAAGCACAATCACAGCAAAGGGAACAGCTGTGTTGAGGGGGGGGAGGCAGCTGCCCCCACAGCAGCTCTAGAAGCCTCCAGGCTTGGGGAGACTCCTTCTACTGCTGCCACCACCACACTGCTCACAAGGAAGGCAGCAGGGTCTCACACCGTGCAGCTATTCAGGAAACAAGGTGCTCCCTGGTTTTTGGGGTCACACAGTGTAACCAAGTCTGTCCCATGTGTCTCAGGTTCAGGGGGTTTAAGGGACTCTGCAACGGCTCCCGCAGTCAGTGAAATGCAGACTGAGTTTCAGAAGGAGAGGAAAAGCCTGCCGTGAGTTTGCGTTCCACATCTTCATCCTGACCTTGCAGGCATCTGTGGTCATAAAAAACAACTATTGCTCTTTTCTTCCATGTGGTGTGAAAGATGGCAGCAAAGTCACAGGCTGGTGACTGACAGGGCACTGCCTCTGTCACCACGCTCCCAGTAACACTGACGTCTGCTCTGTCCCCCGTAGGTACCTATGGACATACGGGTAGCAGAAGTGAAAATCCCCCGTTGGTGCAGTGCCGGTGCCTCGGTGAAGCGCTGCCGGCTCTGCGGGAGCCCCACCAGTCTGGGTGCGTACAAGAGCGAGGGGATCCTTCCCGCTAACGGCCCCTCGCTCTGCTTGCAGTGCACGGAGCTGCGCTCGGAGCTGGAGGCCCTGAGCGAGGAGTACCGCTCCTGCCTGACCAGGCTGCGCCAGTGCCGCGACGAGCTCAACCACTTCCAGAGCGAGCAGGCAAAGGTGGGAGGTGTTCCTCACCCCGACTCCCAGTGCTTCCAGACCCAGGCTGCAGATCAGTCTGGGAAACCCCCCCGTCCCCCATTCATTTGTGCAGTGAGGAAAGATGAATGACACGTTTGCTAGGGATGAGACAAGAAGTTTCTTCTCCCCACCAATTTCCTAGTAACACTTGCTCCTCCTTGCAGAGACGGCGCCGTCACTGGATCCCTCTCCTGGTGGCAGCGATAGCAATGGCCATAGCCACCTTCCTGGCAAGTTACAGACCATGAAGGACCTTCTGAATGACTGACCTCACCGCAGGAACTGACTTCTGCTTCACCAGCAGCAACGCGCCCTGGCCGCAGCGCACCTTCTGCTGTTTCCTACTTGCCTGTTTGGTTCATATCCTGAGCTGGTCTCACTCCAAACTCCTGCAGCTCCAATAAAGCTGGGAGATCTCCCCTTCCCTTGGCTGCTGTGGTTATTCTGTGTCAGTTGAAGTTTGTGCTGCCCGGTCCCCATGGCACTGAGGGACAAAGCCACTCCAGCCACCGCTGCTGGGACTCCTGGGGGGCAGGAGGGACAGGGCATCCCATGCCCTTGGCATCTGGCCTCCCTGGTTTTCATGCCCGACAACTGAGAGGACTACACAGTTGTCTTCCTTTATTACCTCCCTAAATGCGAATTATTCAACCCTGGACCATCTCTACTGGTTCCTGACAGAGAAACCCAGCTCAGGGAGGCTTTTTAGCCCAGTCCTCCTGGGCCCAGTTCAGGCGACCACTTCATGAGCCTGTCTCGTGGCCAAGCGTCCTCACAGCCACCTCCGCTTGCCCTCCATTGCCAGCGCAAGATGAATTCCACAGAGACAGGGGGTTTAGGCCCCTTTTGGAGCTGCACTGTCCCAGTGTTACGGTAGCAATTGCCCCCCATTGAAGCTATGAGGCAGTGACACCATGTTGCACGAGTAGCAAATATGCTATGGAGCCTACTTCACAAATGCAAAATACTGTGGTGTTCAAATGTTTTATTAATCCTCAGCTGTTTGCAGTAAATAAATACACCCTGACTTTACAGGGCACACACTGCAGTAAGGATGGAGGCTGCAGAGCAGCTGTGAGGGTGCACAGCCACACACTGGTCTTCTGGACAATTCACATTTAATTTGCAACTGGCCTGTGTCTGGCACCTGAGACGGTCACGGTTCAGCCTCTGCTGCTCAAGGGCCTCCTGAGACCTCGAGCAGGCCATGCACACAGGAACTGCATCTCTCGCTTTGGTCCCTGATGCAAGTGAGAAATAGGCCAAAAAGCCTGAGTTTGTGCTTTACAAGGCAACTGCTGGAAGAGACACCACCTCGCTCGAAATGCAGAGATCTACAAAGTCACTCTGTGCACTGAAGGCCTCCTTCAGCTCATCACACCAGGCGTCCAGCACCTCCTTCAGCTCCGCACAGAGGCTCTCCGGGATGCTGAAGGAGTAAATCTGGACCCTGAGACCGTCCCTTATCCTGGGGCAGGAGGCCTGGACCGTGAACACCCTGAGCGGCGTCAGCCCCAGGCAGTTCTCAGAACCTTCCTCCATGGCAAAGGTGTACACCGCCGGGTAGCCCAGCAGCACCCCAACAACGGTGCAGAGGTTCCAGCCAGTGGGGACAACCTCACTGGAGGACACGGGGCCGGTGGCAGTGGCCTCAGCAGCCCCTATATGGGCAAGGAGTGTGGTGAGATGGCTCCTGATGGCCTCAGCCTCCGCCGGCCCACAGAGCGCCGGACGCTGCCGCCTGGCTGATACATCCATGAAGGGCGCGGGGTGGGAGTGCAGCATGACCGCCAGCCTCTGCCGGGCCAGCCCCGGGTGCAGCAGCAGGGCCGAGCCCTCCATGTCCAGCAAATGCAGGCGCCACGGGCCCAGCCCGGCCTCCATTAAGCGGCCCAGGTACCGCCGCAGCTCGGCGGGCCCCGCCGCGCCGCAATCGTACAGCAAGGCCGGCTTCAGCCCCGCCGCTACCGCCAGCACCTCCCCGGCTAACTGCAGGGCCCGAGCCGCCGGCAACCTCCACCGCCGCCCGGCCCCCAGCTCCTCCCGAGCCGCCGCCACCAGCCGCGGCGCCGACAGGACGCTGCCCGCCGGGGCCTCCGCCTCCTCTCCGGCCGCTGGGCCCATGGCCACGCCGCGTTCCAGATGAAGCCACGGTCAGGCCTAAAGGTTCCGGGGCGGCCTCCGTGCTAACGTGGGCGGTGATCCGGAGGCGGAGCAGTTTGGGCCCGCCCGGAAAGGCCGCTCCGCCCCGGGGCCCGGGCCCGCCCGGGCCTCAAGCGGGGAGCAGGCCGCAGCCATTTCTTTCGGCTTTTAAAGTGTGTTTTCCGCTTGGGGTGTTTTATTTTACAGATATATGCGTGTACGTTGTGCGTGTGAATACAGTACATTAAAAAAAACCCCACGCTGGAAGAAGCGCCAGGCTCCCAGCTTGCAACTACCGAGCAGTTAAAAGAGAGAAATAAAAGCCAGACACGGTGATACTGTCCAAGTGGTTTTAATAGAGCACAGATTAATATATTTGTTTTCCCTCCCATCTAATGATCAGGTCTTTATATACAATGTATCAATAGTAGTGGATTAAAAAAAAAAATATTACAGAATTGAGAACCTGATTCATACAGCAAATGGCTGAAAACAGGAGCTAAAGGTTTTCCTGCCATCCCCTCTGCTTTAAACACTACCAAAACGAAAGTACCATACACTGTTGAAACAGAATCCGATGACCAGATTTACAGGTTTTATTCAGATTTAGGCAAGGCACTTATTAAGAAATACTCTATGTACAACGTGAGGAGCCGTGGGGCAGAGTGAAGGGCCTGTCACTGTGCGGGGAGCGGCTGGGCCATGTGCATGGCGGGGGCCTGCATCGGCCACCCCTCCTGGTGGTTCTGCAGCAGGCGGTACAGCTGCTTCAGGTGGGCCACGATGTTGTCCTTGATGTCGGGCGTAGAGATCTGGAGCCGCACACTGCCGCTGTCAAAGGAGCGGGTGAAGTCACCAGAGAACATTTCGTAGATCATCCGGGCCACAACTGGAATGACCTTTTAAGAAGAAGTCAGTTGTTTTAGCATAACGGTCACTCAATACACTCCTGTCATGCAGGGGATGGTTTCCACAATAACCTGAAGTGCACTCCCAGACCAAAGCTATTTGGCACACGCAGCATTTGTATTGGCCATGACAAAACCCACCAGCCCTGTTGGGGTTTCCCGATGTCAGTAACCACAACGGAGAAGAACATGTCTCTGGTATCCATGGGCATGGATCCAGAGCCAACGCACCGGCCCCAGCACGGCTGGCACGTGTCACTTCAGGCCCTACCTGAACCACAATCAGCTTCCTCTCCCTGGGTTTTCCATCAGGCCATTCTTCTCCAAAACAGAAGTAGATCTCATATGGTGGCTGTTTCTCTATTTGTCCTTTCTGATGGGCAATCAGCTCTAGGGAAAAAAGCACAATATTGCAGGGTTGTCCTCTTTCAGTCAGAAACACTCACCACATCGCACTTCATTATATCATCCCACGTCTTATCTACACACTGTCCAGAGCCATCTCTTACACATACACAATTAGAGCTCACTTCTTGAACCCAGAAGAGCATTCTTTAACAGCAAGGCCCATCAATGTTTTTTGGAGCATTAAATGAGTGCACATTCACTTTATTCTGATGCACACCTGCTCCATGGCCACTGAATTCGGGGAAGCAGTGGCCCCTACCCAGGCTCCATGCCAGAGCAAACTAATTGGTGCATCCACACCAAGCCCCAGTGCTGACCCCTTTTCCAATAGTGCCACCAAGTGCCCAGACCACTACCCAAAGCTATTTTGCAGAAGCAGAAGCTACCTACCGCTTAGGAACGTTTCCAGACAGAAGAGTTTGACTTTCTTTTGCCTCTCGATCAAATTTGGTGTGGTGGAGGAAGGCGCACAGGGACCAGACCAATACACCTTGCACTGGCAGAGCCGGACAGCGTAGATGGCATGGCCGCTGACCTCCAGGATCAGTCCCCTGTCCATAACATCCAGCAGCCGGCTTGTGAAGACTTTCTGCCTTTCGTTGGTGATCTGCTCTGTTCCTGGAAACTTCACTTGCTCCAAACTAATAGGCCCAAAGAGCTCTTCCTGGTCGGGCATAGGACCCAGCTCTCCGTAGAAAAGTCTGCATCCCTGCGGGTTGCTTACCGTCGTCGTCGGTCCAGTCTCCTTTCCTCGATACTCAAACTTGATTTCTAGGTCTGTCACTGAGAGAGAAACTGTCAGTATGGCTTCTCCTGGACCTTTGCATGTACTGTGTCAACAAAAGAGACACACTGCAATCCATGCTACACTAAGGGAGATGTGTAAACTATACACAGTCCTCTGTGCTAGCAGGCAAACAAACAGCCACAGGAAAAGAGTCAAAACACTTTCCCCCCCCCCTTTTTTTTTTTCAAAATGCAATGACAGAAGCACAACAAATCCATATACGTACTTGGCAGAGAGCTGATCCAGAGCTCAGGGCTGCTGAAGAAGTCATGCTGCAGCGCAGTTGGGGGCATTTCCATATCTAGAGGTTCATTCTTTGGCCACACAGCTTCAGGGCTGCAGTTTTCTGCACTGGCTGGAGCCATTGGAGAATCTACAAAAAAGAAACAATTCTTCAATAAACCAAGATTTTATTTCAAGCCTGCACCAATTTACAAGCAAATACCTTCACTAATACATTAGTCTACGCCACCAACCATTGATATTAAGAAATGGAAATGTCTCTTGAATAGGGACATGCTGAGATTGATTCAGCTCTTCCTCTTCTTCCTCATCAAGATCGTTATCCTTTTCATCCCACGGAGCTGAGCCAGTGGAACCTGCAAGCAAGCACATCCTTGTGGGTAGTCGACCAGGGTGAAACACTGCAGTGCATTTCTTGAAAAATATAACGGAAACTTCTTATAGGCTTTGCACAAGATTGGTAATTTGTGTATTTTGTGAATATAATTTTTTAAAGGAAAAAAATCTAATCTGTACAACATACTATTTTCAGTTTATAATATACAATTCTATATGTATAAGTCTAGAAAGCTAAGGAAACGGATAAAATATCGCCAACATTGGCCTGTTTAGCAGAAAACATGCAACTGTGTGCAGCTTTATTCTTTTTAGTGCAGGTACGATGTGGTTCAAAGTCCTGGTTGAAGCACAGCTGGGCTTACAGCCGGGAGCTGCTTTCTGCCACACACGGAGGCAGCGCGAGAGTTAATGCCGCGGAGAGAAAGGAACTGGCATTGGACAAACGCCTGCTCAGTAACCAGCCCCGTGTCAGCGAGGCCCTCACCTGGATTAATGATTGATCCCTGGGACTGCGGGATATCGCACACTTCATAAATTTTAATCGGGTTCATGGGCACCTCCTTGGTGCCATCGTATATCAAATTAAATTCCCGGCTTTTGTTAAGAGCACATCGGAGCTGGGCTTTCCACTTTGCAGGGTCTGGCTCATCGACTCCTTCCTGGTACTTTCCCGTTTCCACAGCCCAAGCCTGGGGACAAAGTACACTGCTCAGTCCAGCCCTCCCAACAGAGCAGCTTTTATCAGAAATCAAACTTCCAAACAAATTCAGTGTAAAAATCCTTCTGTTGCAGAAGTCTTAACTACAGCTCTTCTGATAACAACAACAGACAATCCTGCTTTAAAGCTTTTTCCATTGAGAGAAAGGGGAGGAAAAAAGATGTAAATCCAGATTTCCAAAAGCCACTAGCAATTCTGAGCGTGCATCTTTGTACAAGTTAAGAAAGGATAAATGGTACAGGACTGTGCACTGAGTTTCTCTAGGTGTCTTGGGTTCAATACCAAAAGCCGGTTTTGACAGCGAGCCATACCCTGCGTAGGAGGAATGGACTCGGTTAAAACAGAGCAGAAGAGCAGCCGCAGACACCCAGGTGGCCATCGCCCTCTCACCCCAACACCAGACTATCGGTCCACCATCCCTCCAAGGCAGAGGTCAGAGATTCCTCAAAGGAGCGTAGGAGTTATAATGAATCCCTTGGGATAACAACATTAAGGGCAGCAGTGATGAGCACTGGAAGTTTGTGGTGGACCTCTTAAGATTTGTGTAACAGTATGTAATGGTTTTCTACCAAGAAGTCGTCAGCCACCACATCCTAAACCAAGTAAATAGAAGCAAATAGCAGAACATTCCAGAATCGACACAAATAGACATGTCTGGCCTTTGGTGGTTGGAAGGGGTTAAAGAACTCAACACCATTTCAGGCAGTGCCAAGCTTGGCATCCAGGTGCACAAAGTGGCTTTTCTGAGGTCAAAGAAATAGGACAAAATGTGCCTGGAAACAGCTCCCGAGATGCCTATCCAGCTCCTTGGCCAACAATTCAACCCTTTGTCTCTGTTTAGGAGCTGTGGTATATCCGAGCTCTCCTCTCCCTCACCTTGAAGATGGTGTTCTCCTCCTCGTGCTGCGGGCTGTGCCGAGTTGCGTGTTTCCAGGGGATCTGAAACCGCTTGGCTTCTCGGTTCAGCCAGATAAGGCCGGGATACATACCACTGTCTACCTGGGCTACCAGCCACGGCTTCAAGCGAACCCTGCGCGGGTGTAACGCCATTGTCTACAAAAGAGAGGGACAACAGTAGACCAACTGCTCCAGGTTAGTTGAGACTCATACGCTTTACAAAAAAAAAAAAGTTAATTTGATGAGAACGGACCCTCTGCAGTGTTAGTGCTATTGTTTGTTACTTTACTGCAGGCTGAAGCCACTAATTTGGATTCAGCTGGATGACTCTTCTGCCAGGAGCAGTGACAAATGCATCACGAAGCGGGGACCGTAAGTGTTACAGGAACAACAACTCGCTATTAAATATTCCAGTAAGCAGAGACGGCGCGTTATTTGTGTTAGCTGAGCACAGGGAGGGCGAGCCCCAATCAAACCGCGCTGCAAACGCTGCGCAGGAGATAAAGCCACAAACAAGCCACAGCAAGAACAGGCAGCTGAATTTCAAAAGCCTCCACGTTCGCAGCAGAGAAGGGGCCTTGTCTGACCCAGCGCTTCTTCGGGCGTGTGGGACGTGCATCCCGGAGGAGAAAAACGAACATGAGCTGAATCAGAGGCTTCTGCCCCGGCGGAGGGGAAGGTGGAAGGCTGAGGCTGAGGCGGAAGGGACTGTTTTATGAGACGGACGTCCCTCTGAAAAGTCATTTCATGACTTTTTCATGCATGCTCTGAATGCAGTATAATCATTCGCAAACATCACTGACCTGCAATAACCAGGATGTTTATCCAGAAGGACATGAACTGCGAGTCTGCCTGCACTCCTGCTAAAAAGCAAGTGATACTGACTTAATGTTTAGTTTTTTTTAAAAAAAAACCCTACTGCTGCAGTGAATTGATCAAATTCCATAGCTAAAAAGCAAGTGATACTGACTTAATGTTCAGGTGAACTGATCAAATCTGTTGTTGTTTAAGTAGCCCTGAGTTGCTACTACATTTGCAACCAACCAACAATATTTTTCTTGTGCAAAACAGATACCAAGCCAAACAAACAGAACTAATGACTGTCTCTCTGCAGGAAGAGACAGCATTTGGTATCTTTAGATTTTGGGAGGGGACTTATGTTATACATGTGCTTAGAAGGTTCTCTCTGCAGGAAGAGACAGCATTTGGTATCTTTAGATTTTGGGAGGGGACTTTTATGCTATACATGTGCTTAGAAGGCCCTGAGTTGCTACTACATTTGCAACCAACCAACAATATTTTTCTTGTGCAAAACAGATACCAAGCCAAACAAACAGAACTAATGACTGTCTCTCTGCAGGAAGAGACAGCATTTGGTATCTTTAGATTTTGGGAGGGGACTTATGTTATACATGTGCTTAGAAGGTCCATCTCCCATATTCATTTGTAAATCTTGAAACAGATGTGAGAAATGACAAATACTCCCTTTAATAAAGCAGCTACAGGATAAGTAAAACCATTGCCACAAGCTGCAAACACCGCTGCAGGAGTTGCAAAATGCGTCTGGTAGCAGAGATAGAGGAGATTCAAAAATCCGACCCAAGAACTAGTCTAGGAACAGGTTTTATTTGTTCAAATACCTGCAGGTCCCACTCAGACGCAAGTGTTCACACAAAATTAATCTGAACACAACTTATTTTATCTGTTAAGCAAAGAAAATATTCTCATTCAATTGCAAATCATCTTCAAATGATAGCTTGAAAATGTGCTTCGTCAAGGAGCTGGGGACGTCAGCAGACTGCTTCCCAGGAGCTCCCAAATCATCTTCAAATGATAGCTTGAAAATGTGCTTCGTCAAGGAGCTGGGGACGTTAGCAGACTGCTTCCCAGGAGCTGCAAAGGGATCAGAAAGCCATCACCAAACTCATTTCTGTGCTTCTGAAGCCGCTGTATTGGTTATCCATGTCGAAAATCCTACCAGAATTGAAGTTTCAGTGGTGTGTTTGCAAAGAAACAAAGTCCAGGTTAATCCTGGACTTAGAATTGAGACCAAAACCAGGTATCGATTTCCCTTGCAAAAGGCAAAAACAGAGACTTCTCCCTGGAACAAAGAAATCCTAAACTAAAGCTTGTTTCCACAACCTTTTTTTTATACTTCACTTCACTACAAGCAGCCCCCTCGGCTTCTAAGACCATACACTGTGCTCACACGCATTGACAAGACCAAGAGCAAATTCAAACCCACACGCCAGGGAGAAAAATTCACTCAAACAGAATGAATTTGGTCACGCGAAGGGTGCGCTGGCGCAGCCATAGGAGGTTTGAATTGTCCCCGGGATCCCAGACAGCGTCTGTCAATACGTGACATTACAATGCTTTATGACCCTTTATCACCAATGACTTGTTGACACAATAACCGAGAGCAAATCAACTTGAATCCCATTGCTGGGCTCAGACGGTGAGTCAGCCTCTTCCAGCCTTCAACTTCGATCCACTGGGGTCCGCTAATGCCAGAGGCTGCTCCGGCCCCAGGAGCTACAGGGGTGAGCTCAGGGAACGTCCTCACACTGCTAATTGGATTTGCCAAGGGAGGCTTAGCCCTCACTCGAGACTCCTTGGTGCACATAGCCAGGAATCAGAGAATGGTTTGGGTGGGAAGGGACCTTTAAAGACCATTGAGTCCAACCCCCTGCCACGAGCAGGGACATCTTCAACTAAATCAGCTTGCTCAGTGCCCCGTCCAACCTCATCTAGAATGTTTCAAGGGATGGGGCATCTCCCACCTCTCTGGGGCAACCTGGGCCACTGTCTCACCACCCTCATTGTAAAATTTTTTTCCTTGTACCTAGTCTAAATCTCCCCTCTTTCAGTTTCAAGCCATTACCCCTTGTCCTGTCCCAACATGCCCTGCTAAAATGTTTGTTCCCATCTTTCCTGGAGCCCCTTGAGGGACTGGAAGGGGCTCCAAGGTCTCCCCGGAGCCTTCTCTTCACCAGGCTGAACCCCCCCAACTCTCTCAGCCTGTCCCCACAGCAGAGGGGCTCCAGCCCCTCTGAATGGAGGAATGCTGGAAACTGGAATCCTCTAGTTTTCTTTATTACCACTCAAACTGGCTGGTGGTGGGGGATAATTAGCACATCCCTGTGCTGCTAATGCATCTCCGGTCGGTGATGTAATTATTCCCTGTACCCCAATTATCAAGTCATACATTTTTCCTTGGAAAGAAGACATTCCCCCAAGAGGAACAACTCTGGCCATCTCAGGAACGTCTCAGACATCCCGCAGCCACCTCCCCGACGGCTGCAGACAAGTGACCACGGGGACAGCCCCGGGGACCTGTGGTGGCCCTCGGGGCTGCGGCGCGGTGCCAGCCAGCATCCCGCCAGCCGGCACACCGGGAAAAGGCCTGTCCCAGCCTCCCCACACGGATGCTCTCACTCTCCTCCTGCACACCCAAACCAACTCCGTGCTCCCGCTCCACCCCGTCACGAAGCCTCTGGAGAAGGAAGGGTCTTCTCCCTTCTCCCTGCGATACCACCGACCTCACCCCTCGCTCGTTACCTCGGTGTGATTACATTATCCTGTATTTAGTGGGTTTGCACTGATTTTTTTTTTTCAAAGGCTATCAGCTCACCCCTGACCATTAGCATTGCCACAGAGAAACAGGACAAATTTCCACCCGAGTGTCCCAGGCTTTATCACCTCCCCACAGTGGGAACCTACAGCTCCCACCTTTCAGAGACCCCTCCATCACTTCTGCAGGGCGAGGGACACACCAGGGGCACAATTAACCCTGATAAACCCAGGGATCCCACGTCCCAGCTGGGTACCCCCAGCCCTCTGCCGTGCCCGGGGAGCCCCTCAAGGTGGAAGAGGCGTGAGTTCTTCCCCATCATTTGGGTTCTCGGGGTGGGAACAGCTTTGATTTAAAACCAGCTGTGGGCGAATGGGGCGGGGGGAGGGCAAATAGAATCATAAAATCATAGAATCATCTAGGTCGGAAGAGACCCTTGGGATCATCGAGTCCAACCATCTACCCTACTCTACAAAGTCCTCCCCTACACCATGTCCCTCAGCACTGCATCTAAACGGCCCTTAAACACAGCCAGGGATGGGGACTCCCCCCCCTCCCTGGGCAGCCTGTTCCAATGCCCGACCACTCTTTCGGTGAAAAATTCTTTCCTAATGTTC